AGTTAAAATTGGAATTAAAATGACTACAGGAGTTGATGTTCCTTTTGGTGATTTTGATTTGGAGAGATCATGGAAATATCTAGCAGAAGCATTTCATGTTGAACCGTCAGGGAAGCCATGGTATACAACTTGGAGAAGGCTTATTATATTACAAGACTGTCTGGACAAATGGTACCAACAAGAAGAGTCTACTATTTCAACAAGTTTCAAAGAGAGAGTTTTTCTTGAATATCTCTGGTATCATGTTAGTTTATGTTATTCTGATGACACAGAGAATCAAAATATTAGTGATACACTTTGGTTTGGTATTTTAGATATCATCCAACAGCTTGTCCAAACAACATCTTCTATGACTACACAGGCTATTTGTTATTACATAGCATTAGACTCATTGAACAATGCAGCTAGTGAATTTATTCAATTTAAATCAATTGAAGTCTTATTGAGTCTTGAAGCTAATAATAGTAAACTATTTGTTACTACCCCTAATGATATTGCTGCTTGTGATGATGAATATATACCAAGGCTGGTAGGAATTTACTATTATTTGAAAGAAAAATCAGAAGTTGAATCAAAAATGCTTTTGAGGTACTTACCAGATAAGCTAGATATAGAGGCAAGTACTCTAGATAAGAAAGGGAAGGGAAGTGATAAAGATATGCATGATTATGATGAGAGAACCCCAATTGACTATATTGCAGAAGATCTGACATGCACAATTACTTGTGAAGCAGTTGGTGATATGTACCAGCTCAACTGCCAACATTTTGTTAGTTCCAAGGTTCTCATATCATTAAAGAGACTAGAATGTCCTTACTGCAGAAGTCAGATTAGAAAGAATGAAGTGTACTATTTACCACAGCAAACAATATACAACAACATTCAATATTGTACTGATTATCAAGATGAACATGATTTTTATGATGGCAACAATATGGTTACAGAAATAATTGATGATCATGTTGATATTAAAAGGCAGAAGAAGAAAAACAGTAAAAGAAAGATTAATTCTGGATCCACTTGGAATTCAATCTGGAAGACATTAACTGCACCAAACATAAACAAATTACATTATAAGGCTAAAAGTGCATACAACAATAATAACTTGGAAAGTGCCTTGGATATCTACACACAAATATTACAAAATAGTCCCACAAATTATGTTGCACTGTGTAATAGAGCAGCCATCAAGTTAAGGATGAAACATTTTGAAAAAGCTTTGTTTGATATTGAAACAGCAATTAATGCAAACAAAGTTTATGAACATGCTTGGTATTTGAGCTTAATGGCACATCTGGAACTTGGTGATAAGGAAAAAGTTGCAGAAGATATTAAGCACATTTATAGAATCTATGGGCGGGACTTTGCTTTTGATTTGATCTATGAATTTGTAAACAAACTTGAACATTTTGATGCTGAATGGTTTAAAGTTCTTGTGGATTCTTACCCTGTCAAAGCATTATATATCTTAAATGACATTAAACAATGGCAAGCATTGTGTCAGCAGCAGTTTGGAACAGATGGACATGATGGATGGTACAATTCTGCTGTAGCTTGGTATAACAAGTATAGCAACACATTACAAGTTTTTACAAGAAAAGGAAAAGAAAAAGTTTACTATATGCAAAGAAGTAAGTAAATATCTGGGGGGTTTTTTTCTCATTCATGCACACTAAATTATTTATATTGTTAGGTTATCTGAAAGCACATTTTGCTTTTGAGAGCTGTACTGAAAATCTAAATAATGTTTACTCTCAGTATGTAAAGTTTGTCCATTGTTTTTGCTCTTAGTATTAGTTATAGTGTTATTACTAACATTTATCATCTAATAGTAATACGAAATATGCAAGCCTTTACAAGAATAATAAGGTACATTTTACAATGATATGATAATTATTGTTAAACCATATATTATTTTAGAGTATTAACTAATAAGAATCATTATTGTATTAGTTAACAATACCCATATTTCAAGTACCTCCAAGTAAATACAAACTTAGCTTGTTGTTGCTTTATAAGGATTCTATAACAGCAACAAAATTAACAATTTTAGTAAGTATGTTATGTGTTATTTATTCAGACCAAGTTGTATTATTAAACAAGCATTTAAATTGGTAGATACAGACATCGACGACAAAGGCAATACAATATCAAATGAATGTTAAAACTAGGGTCTACGCTGAATACATTTTACCATGTGTAATTAACATTCCGTCTGAAGATGATGTTACTATGGAATTTTCTACCAGTGATGTTGGGGTATGATTCAAATTTATACATTGATTTAGAATAACCTCTTTTTTTATTCTGACTTGACTTTATTTTAGTCCCGCGTGCGTCTTTATTGGGTTTGTTTGTATACGGAAGAAGAGTTAGAGACTGTGGAAAATAATGTAAAAGTTGAAACTCTATCAACTGGTGTCAAAATAATTGACTATGACCAATTTTATTATCGGAACAAATATTTCATAGTCGATAATTAGAAGATATATAAGTGAGCAATTGGTCATGTCATCTACAGTATACGGTATATTTATTTAGAATGTTGGAATCTAATATGGGCAACTTTTGAAATTACCAAATATAGACAATTCAAAAAAAAAAAAACTCACAAACCATATGATAAAAATAATTGGAAAAGAGGTTGAATATTTACACAGATATTCTCACGAAGTATAAGGCTCTATCTGTAGTGCATTTATCAAGTTAGATATAAATAGTTTTGAAAAGCTTGTTTAATATTGAGACAGTGTCGATACACGTGAGAGAGCGATCGTATACCGGCCTTGAGATTTAACTCTTCTAACGAGACCTCCATTAATGTTAAACCTGTAAATGACGATTAGTGATCATAACGTTGGTTTTCAAATTACTCACGATGCTTGATCAGTCTCGTATACGCTGTCGCTAGATATTATTTAACCTCGAGTTCTTACGTCAACTTTTTTGATAAAATTAATTTCAAAAGCCTATAGGTCGGGGAAGTTATTCTACGAGAAACGCGTCTATCAGGAGTTAAATAATATTCCTAGTGTCAAAATTTTTGCGAATCGATGGCAAGATCGGCTCCGTTTACTATCGATGCGGGAAAACGGTTTACACTTTTACCGACAATAAGGTAAATTTACCAGGGAATTATAATTAGAATATAGAGAACTATTCGGAATGTACGTGGGAATTATAAGAATGATATCGAAATTAAAGAATTAAACAATGCTAAAGATTAAGGAAATTACGACCACTTATAACTATCCTATCTATTGTTGATTAATCGGAAAGTTCGCTGCTGTGAAAATTTTACTAAAGTAGACAACGTGACTATGTGTGTAACTGACACAAATTCCGCACGCAAGCGTTTGTGCGTTTGATATCGTATCCATTGTGCAACTTGTGCCGCTGATTGACCGCTGAAGTCATCTTTGCACTTGGCATAAGTGGAACTGATGAATAGACGCTTGTGCCTTGGGAATAAGAAAAAGGCTGAACAAGATGTTATACTTATTTAGGCAAAACGATGCATCTATGAGCACTTTAATGTACTATACCATAAAAATATACTTGCAAAGTTTCATGTTTCTTTGATTGTTTTTGTTGCACGACTAAAAAATTTTATTCCAAAACTTTTGTACGCACTGCAATTTGATGAAACAACTACCAAGAAAATAATAACGAATTTTTAATTATCAAATATTGACTTTTTTTTAAACAAAGCTTATGCAAAGAAAATACAATGGCATATGGCGACATGATTCTGACTTTACCGCTCATTAACAAATCCGACGACGTTGGGTGACATGGCAACACGTTTAATTATCTGACTGATATTTTCGTTAATGCAGACTATTTGTTAAAACAGCTTATGTTATAAATACAGATGAACTCGTTTGTTCAGAAAAAAGCTTTGTTATAAGACCATCTTTGTTCCATATTCCACTGTGTAGTTTGATGCTGAGGAATAAATTAGCTAATTTATATAAAGTTTAATATGTACTATGGTTGTATTGCCTCCGACAGAAACTTTGTATGTTATCCAATAAATAATTGCGATAGCCGTATGACATTCAATTGCTTTATCTATTCGCTTGAGTACTAATTTCAATATGCAACCGAGCACATTAAACACAATGGCTTGCCGTGAATCACTTGAGTAACGTGAGAAACAAACCGACGAAATAGGCATTTGTTTTCCGGATGTAAGCATACTTATTTGACCATTACACAATTGCTAAATTGTCTATGCCTGCCTTTCTTGTTGTTCTATTTTAAATTTTGTTGATGTACTTGACCATACACGGTAAATTCACAACTAGGTCAACTATCCTGTACTAAGCCAGATATGGAAGTTGTTCAATGGAATGCATATTTATTTATATCGGCGTAAAAGGAATAAACGCAAACGTACGCAAACGTACTTTTTTTTATGAACGTAAGAACAATGTAATTACAACTGCACAAATTATGTCTAGGGTAACAGTAATGTACATTGACATTGTTTCTATAAACATTGCTGTTAAAATACTACTAACAAAAACACTAGTACCCCTATCTATACGAGTTCTGTCATCGCTATACGTATTGCGAACGATAAATAATATCTCAACAAGTCTATATCATAGTCGCTATATATTGGTATACTGTGTACGGTATGTGCAACAAATCAAGGGTTATCCCTTAGGCATGCTTTTAAGCTCGCTCGTATATTGTTGCACAATCTTGTCAAACAAATAAACCCGAGTACAGCTTTGGCTCCTTCTTTCGATCTAAACAAAGATTAGGGGGCGATATTAATATACACCTTGTGGTTTCAAGAGCACTTTGTACAACAATAGCAAGAATAACCACACGAAAGGCTTGGATAGGCAATTGACAGTATATATAAAGATTACTTTTGACGTCCCTTTGGAAATTATCCTAACTAACAAAGTTAAACTTTTTAAGTTTAACTGGCTTGACACTTGATTTACGGCACAAGCAGTAATATCTCAGAGACTTTTTATAGAATGGCAACGTATTCGCCTCCAAACACTGGTTATTATGACCCTAACTCAAACGGTTCTTCCAATAAACCGACCGTGGTTAAACTTGACAAACCTGCAGTTCACTCGACCATGGCTGAACTTAACAAACCTGCAGTTCACCCGACCATGGTTGAATTTAACAAACCTGCAGCAGTTCACCCGACCATGGTTGAATTTAACAAACCTGTAGTTCATCCGACCAATCCGCAGGCGACGGTTGTTCCTGTATATAACAATTTCCCAGGCGCTAATTCCCAGGCGGTTGATCCTGTATATAACAATTTTCTCCCAGGCGCTAATTCCCAGGCGGTTGATCCTGCAACGGGAATACCATACATGGTTGTAACAACGCGAAGAGAAGGATGCACATGCAGTTGGGAAATGGCTGTCTCAATAGCTGCTATTCTGCTAATTTTGGTCGGAAGTGTACTGTTGGGCGTTGGACTATCAAATTGCGCTTACTATTGTTATCTGGAAGATTATAACATGTATTGTTCTGGTATTGCGCTTTTGTGTATAGGAATTGTTATGGGTATAAGTGTCATAGTTGCATTTTTGGTTCGTCGCAATCGGGTAACCACCACAACTATGCAGCCGTTTCGACAATATCAACCATAGTTAACTGTGAATTTATGTTAGAGAGCTTGTTAAAATCCTACATTTATACTATGTTCAAAAGTACATTGCTTTAAATGCATAAATTGGAAGGAGAATAGAATGGAAACGAATTTTAATAATTTTGATTTGATAATGTAAACAATACTATTTGACAAATACTATGTAATTTTATATCTCCTTTGCGTGAATGAGTATAATTAGTATGATGTGATGTTAATATTTTGTATTTAAACTACTCTATTAAACTTATTCGCTTTGCTTTCTACTTGGAAAAAACATGAATGAATATACACAAGTCGACTAACCCAAAAAGGCATCAACTGATGATTGACATTCAGATTACTCGACATGCCTATCCACTAAATTGACTTACTTCTTCTATCTACTATTTATTTACGCCTCATATCGATTGTTATACAGTACAACATCCGTATATAAATAACAGAGTTTATGGATGGTAAACAGGTTATTTTATCTTATCGTATTGTTGGTAAAATATTGTTCGAATGAAAAGTTATCGAATAGCATCCATCAAACATAAACTTAATTCAAAACTCTTGCACGTTCGAATCAATTCTGTGTTTGTGTTATGTGAGTTGATGCACAAAGATGTTGAATGGGACATCTCTTTCATGCGGTTGTCAAGCCACTTATTACACACAAAAGTTTTCCTTTTCCTCTACGAGTACAGTGCCATTTTTGAGTTAGTCTGCTTCTATTAATACCAATTTAACGGAGTAAAATAAAAATAGACAAAAGTTTATACAAAATGAAATGAAACAACATCAAAGATAATCTTGCTAACGACTCTAGGTGTATTCCTTCCGTATTGCTTCTAAATAAATGTTTGACATGGCTCGATAGTACATTTTATCTCAACAAAAACGGTTCAGGATCTCCGGACTTATGTTTTCAAATTTTAATATTCTCAAATGGTACGAAACCCGCGTACAATAAATACAAAGTCATGGGAACAAAAGTGTTGTCATACCGACTTTCGGAAAGTCATAATAATAATGCCTCATACTAATACACTAATTATGAACAACTTTTGAATGAACAAACAATATATTGATTGACATATTTATTCTTACAGAAACAAATTGTTTCATGTAAGCGCCTAATATCCAAATGAGGACAATGATTACTGTGTGCTAAAAATAATCTTTCGATGTAACGTCTAACGTGTGCGTTTCTAGAATTCTACACCCATATATCAATCTTGTACAATGACTATGGATTTTGCACACCGTGTACTAACGCTTGGGATTTTCCGACTGTATGACACGACTGATGTATTAGATACTTTAAAGGAATAGTACGTTTCTATGTTTAGCGTGCTTTTCTTACCTTTATGTGTTACCTTTAATATAGTCAATATATCGATTTCCTATATGTAGTGTTTCTCCGTTTTTGGTCATCCTTATTAAGACAACGCTCCCGCTAACCTCTATCATTACAGTTCTAATTACCCTGTGTGGCATTTTTTGTTTCTTCGCCCTCCCACTCTTGCAGGTAAAATGATTGAATATTCTTTCAATTTCGTTTATTTGATTTTCTGATTTTATTATAATAACTGTATGTCTTAGATTTTGTTTAAAGTAGTATCTATCTTTATTATTGCTTCGAATAGCGTAATTGAATTCAACTATGTAATCGATAATGAATTTCATACGAGTAATAAACAAACTACTTCACAATGCATCATTAGTCGAAAACTCGCAGAAAACTATGTAGTGAACTCAATCTCACTTTGTATCAGCCTTCTCTCTGTCTGTGCAATAACGTCATCGTATGAAATCGAGTCGAAAACCATGAATGATGACACCATCTAGCTAGCTGGCAAGTTGTCGTTCATTTGCCACTCCCACGCATTATCGTGCTGATAGACTGAAACAATCTGTTTGACCAGCTTAGGGCTATGGTAGCTGGAAAAAGTGAAAAGGCATTTTATGTCTGTAGACAATAAGCCATATTAATATACTGTACACATATATAAAGTCTTCTATATATTGTAAATCTTAAAAAACGGTATTGATTACTCTCTAATGCTTCGGCGCTGAAATTGATTATGTTGATTTTCCCAAAAATTCGGGTTCTGTGAAAAAGTAGGTGTTCCACTTAGTTTACGTACATATATCACCTCATCTCTGTATCATGGTAAATACTTTCGTGTTCGTTCTGTTATCCGTAGCGTAAAACATTCAATGATAAAATTAGAGACCTCGAAAACTCAATGATAAAATTAGCATAGATCGGCATACACTTGGGGGCAAGCGTTTCAAGAAAGGAGGAGAGAACACAAGACGCTTCTTCAACAACTTATTTTGTTCTATGCGTTCGGATTAATGTAAAACAGACTAAAATAATGCGTATATCGAAAGCCTTGTACGTTTATTAATTTTTAATAGACCTTGCAAAGCGTCAATCGATAATAATAAAAAGCTTAGTTCTATTTTTTAGTTCCATTAATTAGTTGACCATTGTTTTTTCACGCTCATTATTTTCGCTGCCCGAGCAGAAAGTGTAGAGGATACAACGTTTCTATGAATAAGTGAACTGAACGAGAAAACACAGGTGAATCCTATTTGACAAGTTCTACAAGCTTTACACATATATATTCATATATATTGAAGTAGGGAATTTATTTAAGAAACAAACATATAACTAATTTACTTATTGTAAAAAAACCCATCATTTGTTTCTTTCTCATCTATCGATATAATATGCAACAAATCATCGACGCCACAAAACTCGATAGACGGTAATCCATACAATCCTACCATAATGGTGGGAGTTTTGGCTACCAGCATGTCTCCATCACCATCGTCACGGCAGGGGTGTTATATGATCAAGGAAATTTCTATTGTAGTTTTTGCATTGTTACTTGTTATAGGCGGCATTATAATGTTGGAAGAGTCAAAGCCATTATATGAAAATTGTATCGATAATTGTGCCATCGAAGCTTACAGCGATTATAGCAGCGATTATAGTTCGATATACCATTGTTTAAGAAATGAAAACAATTGGCATTGTTCTTTTGGTTGTTGGAGCAATCTTGCTTATTGGGAGATGGAGTTTTCACATATTATCAAGTTCATCAAAAGCGAATGCGGCAAGAGGAACGCGCGTCTGTCCCTTCAATCTGGGGAATGTTATTTTAATATAAAGTACATTTTCATCGCCATCATTTGTTGCACGAGCATACCTTTTTTTTACATAGTTGATATTCATTCGTTTTTCATGCTCCGATTAACCAACAAATACCATTTATCGTAATTATCATATGCTAATACTTGGTACTTGATTGATGCTTGATACTTAACTTTACCCACCCACCACCCAAGCTTGAAGGAGTATATTTATTACATTTTTCCCCGTTGTTATTATTATTTTTATTTCGTCATCATATTTTAGTAATGGTCATTTTTTATCAGCGTTGTGTATCACATGTTGAAAGATCGTTGGTAAATAAAATTTTTCGCACAGTCTTATTATTAATCATTATTTGTTTATGCGTGTGTGTGAAATAAAAAGGATATGACTCATATGACTCATATGAGCAAACCCCACGTTTATATGCTTTGCTCCAAAAAAATGGCTCCCACTTTGCATTCCCATATATAATTATAAAAAGTATAAATAACAACATATCAACCGCTTTTTTGCCACACACCTCTATAATAAAAAGTTTTTTCATATCCTACTTACTAGTTTGAAACTAGATTAGTAAGAGACCTGATGCGCAAGCTACACAGCCTTTACTAAATCTTAAATATGTTAATAAGCAATTATCTCAACCAAATGACAGTACGTGCTCCATATAGCGTCCAGCAAACTTGTTATAAGTTTTAAGTACTTTGTCAAATGCACGGCTTATAATACTTGTACGTTTAATGCCACACGGTATTTTAGTTAACTGATATAAAGTTTCTCTTTTGTATATGTATATGACTGTATTGGCTGGGAAGCATTGAAATGGCAAATCGTATTGTCAGTACTAGGACAATGTTAATAGTAATTCAGCATACAGTCGTCCCCTCTCTACAGTCACACCGTCGTCGGTTCTTCTGAAACCTGTGACTGTAAGGAAGGTGTGACTGTAAAGGGGGACCCCTATACAATTCCAGGATATATGCAATTCATTGCGAAATGCTTATACAAAGGTTTATATTAATTGACAGTATTCTGACTTCGAAAATTTTTTTATTCAGTTTAAGTCATAAAAAAAACATACATGTTGACAGTGATATGCATAAAGAGATTAACTTATTTCCTAACAAAAGAGTCGAGTGTTGACTGAACTTTAGACTTATCCACTAATAGTTTAAGTATTGATATTTTGCGATGGAGAATTTTAACTCATCTGGTCTAAACAACGTCTCGGAAAGATGTTCTCGAATCTAATGAGTTCTGTGAGATGGAACAATGCTTCGTGGATAAGAGCTTGCTTACTGTAGACTAATCTATATTAATACTATACTTATTATTGAAATAAGATGCAATGTCAGTACTTGTGGCCGTGCTATTATCGTTTGAGTAAATGCAAATCTCATGCCGTAAAGCATTATTGATTTGAGTTCTCTTTCTTTTCTTGGTTGGAGAGGCTATAAACATTCTAATTTTGTATAAATAATGCGCGTTCTCCAATCATTTTAATTTTAATTTTTATCACGTAATGTGACTGTAAGGAGGTAATTTTTCATATATCTACTATTTATCGGTTCTGCTGTGTCCTGTGATAGAGACTATAAGCGAATTGGGACTGTATAGAGGTAAATTTACTATAAAATCGGTTGGTTCTGTAAAAAGGTGTGACTGTAAGCCAATTGTGCTTATATAGATGACTGTAGAGGTGACTGTAGTTCATAAGTTTCCCTGAGTGAGATTAACTATAATGTAGCAAATTTGACTAAAAGCTATCATTTCTTCACAGAAATTAATATTGATTATGCAGCATATGTACAAGAAATAGCCATCAATAGTTATCAGATGACAATGTGATAAAAGTGTCTCTTAGCTACGAGAAAAGAGGACCATTATTCGGTACTAGTTCGTACAGTGGGTAGTTTGAGTTACATAATAGTCTACACACCGAGTGTCTTCGTTATCCAACAATGCGTTATATGTTCGATAGTTCATATTTTCATTGATATTCGAAGACTCGAAGATAAACGTGATGTTGTGAAAGGAAGGAGGCAAGTGAGCCACTAGTATATAAGGGGAAAAGTCGCGTTGTTGGGAATACTTGGTATGCATGAAGCTACTGTATATATAGACATACCGATCATGTTTAGTGTTCTGTAAAATGAAATAGTTTGTGATCAAACGTCTATTTTAAACTGACATGTATCATATACATAATACTTTAGTAATATTGGCGCATAATAGTCCTTTCGTAACAGAATGTAAAAAGATATTACCATGGCCATATAGTAAAGTAATGGCTGTATAAAGTTATATACCTACTATACCAGACAGTTCTTCTTAAAGTGATATACATTAACGGAGTCATCATGATTTAGGCTCATTATACGTTCGATTTAGTAAAAACATATGAATTTATTAAAGAAAGAGTAACAGGAGAATGTCTTATCTGTATAAAGTTATTGTTAAAATGTATAGCATATAACGAATGTTTAAACAATAATTAATACATTGAAAAAATTTTTCGATCGACAAGTAATTACTTTCACTTGTTAACTTCCGAGAGGCTAAATCTCGTAGGGTTGTTCGCCTGGATTTAATCGTTTTGTTTGATTAGATTGATGCAGGCTGAGTGTCGTTTGATACGTCTTCATTGGGATTGATGTCCTCAATTTGCATGCTTCGGACAATAGCGGCAACGGAGAAGAGACTGCAATGTTGGTGTCGTTGGAGGTAGTATTTTTCAGAATAACAAACGTCGCATGTTGCAATTCACAATATATAACATTGTTATGCAGTTCCGCAGCGCCTTCGACTTTTATTCGAGAGCCGACATTATAAACTTTTGTACGATTTAATGGATCCAGAAAAATTTTTCTAGAGTGGGAGCAGGTGACATTAATAGCTTGTGCTAACGAATCTACCTTGTGACAGTCCCGTAGAATTAGACAACATCTGTAGGAACCAACAAAGCGACATAACATGAATCTTCGGCATCAACCGGGATAAATTGGATAATGTTGAATGTAATATGTTTTCACTTGTTTTTGATTTAACGACTCCCATTCCGACTACAAATTCAGTCCGCGGTGTAGCTTGATAACTGAAGACTTCTCCGATTGACCGAATTTCCAAAGACATGATGCTTTTACAGATAGACAATTAAAAAGAAGTAAATTGGAAGGAAAGAAGAGATTTTTGTTGTGATAAGGATTTTGGGATGTGAAATTTACAGCGCTTGTCCGTTTAATTAAATTTTGAAACATTTATTTGTGTTGTTAATAATTTGACTCTTTATTTCATACTTTTCTTTCTTATTGGTGCCTTTCGTTGACAGATTAATTGGTTTACTATCGGCATAAACGATTTGTTGATTATTTTTGGGTAAATGCGATTGATCAATGGACAATGTGAAAAGTGGGCTTTCGCTTCGAATTGTGTGTCATGCGTCTACGATTTCCCAAATAGCTAGCGTATACGATGGAACGCTGTGTGTGGTGAGATATTTGAAGGCCAAAGTTTTTTTTTAATTTTAGTGTTAAATAATTATGTGTTTTATTGGCGGCTTGCGCTGAGAGCACGCCTTTTCCGAACAGTTGGTGTACAGTCGAACCCCGTTGCCTAAAGTCAAGTAATATTCGGTATATTGAGACATTCGTAGTTGCAAAATAATACAAATATACAGCAGGAGAAAACGAAAAGTATAATAATTTCTACGGATCACTCAAAAGTTAGAAAATTAGAATATTTATGTATCGGAGATTCATTTTGAGATAATATAATCGGCTTTACCTTTATTAGACAATGCAAAGTCAACACTTGGAACATACGAGCCTGACTTTGAAGTTGTAGTTGATTGAGCATATACTATCAGTAGTTGTTAAGACTTATAACAGAGAAGCTAAGCATTTATTACAATGGATATTTGAAAACCTCGTTATTCCGTCACCGAAGTTCAGTTGCAGGATTTTGTATATGATAACTAGTCACTTTATAACGAAGTTAATCACGTGATATAAATTAAACATGGTGATTGGTTGTAGCAATTAGAAAATTTGTCATACGATACAGTGATTGGTTGTAAAGCAAATTGACTATTAATACAATTTCACGTGAATATGAATATTCTGCATCGTTATGCGTTAATAGTTAATCATGTAAAACGTATCATGTAATGAACGGCATTTGGTAGTTTTTTTCTTCATTGACGCATCGAACAATTCTAAACAAATGATTTGCACCCGTGGGAAACACATTAAGTGAGAATGTGCGTTTACAAAATGGTTGTAAAAAGTTGACAAATACCAGAATACTGCACAAATGAATACATACCTTTTTTAGGCAACAAATTTAACAGATGTAAACGAGATTGGTCATTTTGGGAGTTTTTTTGTGAGTGTAACAATACTGCGGGATGTAAACAAATACTATATAAACGACCTTTGTCCGTAGACTTAAGCATAAGTATAAGTATAAACTATTAAAAACTCAAAGGCGATTTTGGCAGCGATCATTTCTAAATGTAAAATAAAATAAAAATTAAATGGAACTAGGTAGGGGGGTTTTTTTGGGGGGGGGCTTTGCCCCCTCCCCTTTCTAGTAATTGAGAATTTATTAATGATTTAATTTCTAAAAAGGAAATACATGAAGAGTGATAGTAGTTTGTGTTATTAATCTATGAGCGAAATTATTTGTATACGTAAATAAAGGATATTTTAGAGTAAGTAATATAACATATAATATGATTATTTAGACATAGTCGAACTGGGCGTTTAAATTATGGCTTTATCTTATAAGAACATTTTCGTTGCTTTAATTTTATTATGTTATTCATTTATTGGGAGGCCTTGTTTGCTTATTTCAATATAGATAAGACAACATTGACAGAAGGGATTTCCGTTGATTGATTACTCTAACTATTCTTTTGCTATTTGAAAAATCCAATCGAGAATAACACAAACGCATCAGAGCGCCGCTGTAAGTTAATGAAAGGTTTGCCAATAAAGTCTAGAGAAAATCCAAAGAAAGCATGTCCAACTCATACCCGAGATCCTACTTTCTCCTTTGTTCTCTCATGCAGTTTTTCTTGGAGGATTTGTGATACGCTATAATATCAAATTCTGCTATATTTAAGCTTGATCCACTGTCGCTTACGTATTGTGTGGTACGAGAGGTAAACGTGGTGATATTATTTCGTACTTGGGCAGCGGATTTTATTGTGGCGATTGTGCAGATTCACGTACGTGCGTGTGGTATATTGGCTGAATTATACGCAGTGACATGGCACTTGAATGGGTTAATCTGGAGAATTGGAGTAGTAAGTAAGTGGTGTTAGAAAAAGAATAGTTGTCATATGCTAATTACTTACAGTCAACATATTATCATGTAGCGATGTTATCGTGCCGAGTATGTCATTTAATGCAAAAGCCATTGTTGCTTGCCAGTCTGGTTTATCTTTCGGCACGTATACATCGAATCGAATATGTATCGGTTCAGAGGCAAAATTGAGAAAGACGACAATAACAATATTTTAATTGTGGAAAACTTGGTTGTAAAGGATAGATGAAGTTGTCATTTTTAAGTACCCATTTGACGGTGTGTGGATATAATAGACGTAAACAGTAAGAGCAGAACGCAGGGAAATTGCGCATATTCTTCTTCATAAAGTTTGCGTAAAGTTTTTCGTAGAGCGTCGGAAGGGCGCCAGTAGGATTGCGCTTGAATGTTAACTAAATAGGAGATATAGGAAAAACGGGGCAATGATTGTGTGTGGAAGTATCAGTACTATAGAAAACTGATTCATCGGTTTGAAGAGAATCAACAGTGTATATATGGAAGCGTCTATATATAAGCGTAAAGGAAAAAGATTTACGTGTGCGTAACGAAATGTAGTAAGTTCGAAAAGTTTAATTTAAATGTGCATAACTACGTCTGTGCGAGTGTGTGTGTAAACAAAGCTTACTAATTATGTGTCTAAAGGAAAATCAAGAAGGAAAAGATATATCGAGACAATACAAATTAAGCAAAACGACATCTCGATGCAATTGCTAGAACAATCAAGCGGTAGAAATTGATATGGGTACGGACTAGATGTGTTCGTTTGTTTATCTACGGACACGAATGAAATATAGCAAATGCAATCTGATTATGTGTAATTAATAAAGTAATGGGCGGGAAAGACACACACACACGTGGAAATTGAAGAATTTGATGGGTATACTCATTTTTCTGAGTAAAGTCGCTTAAACAGATTTTTTGTAATAGCAACATAGAATACACGTAGAGTGTTAGTTATAATACTAAATCATTACGGCACATAAGCAGAAGGATAGGCATTTTCAAAGTTATGAAGCGACCAAAAATTTTGTTGATAAGCATGAACAAATATAGTAACAGAGTCAACGATATATATTTGTAAATTTTATTTTTTTATTAATTTAAATTTAAAATAAACCATTTTATAGGCTTTTAAATATTATAGTTCCTGATTGATTGCGTCAACCAGGGCATTATAAAAGGATCGCGGCTTTATTTCGATTTATTTTTGCTCAAATAACAAGTACAAATAACATATCAAGCATCCGTTATATGATCATGGTGGATATATCAGCAAGCATATGTGGTTAATAATAAAACATTAGTATCTTCGAAAGATATATAAGCAGCGTAGATTTAGCTAGATTCTGTGTGTATGTGTGTGGTATTCAATTACTTTCGATCCTTTATTTTATATACTATTGTAAAAAAACGAGTAGTTTTTTATACTTGAAATGCATTATTAATTATTCGCTCCCTGGTAAATTATCGGTATAGTTGTAAAACCGCTAATCGCTATATCGATTAAGAATAATTGCTTCTTGTCCCGTGAATATTCTCGTGGCATTACGATTGTTGTTCGTACGTTCGAATATATCCCAACCTATAGGTTTCCGAATTAATCCCATCAAAATGGAATAGAGAACTAACTTGAGAGTGTGAATCACCGTATCTAGGATTAATGTCTACCGATCGACACTTAGGTCTTCTCAACAGCTTTGAGCCCCGATCAAATTTGGAAACGTATACAATAGTTCTCGATAGCCTTTCTAAATAGAATAATACTGTATTTAGGTTTTGGGTGACAGATAAATTCGTGTAAATAGTCAGGTTCATGTAAAAATAAACAACTTCCAATTTAGTCAATGCCCCTTGATGCCCCTACATATTTAATGATCGATTGCTTTTCCGTGATTCGTCTGCCTTTGTTGCCTTTGTGAATAATCTCGTGGGTAAAATTAGAAACATCTCAATTGGACCATCAGCAACGATTCTGAATCGTTTGTGAGGGAAATTTTCAGAGTACACACGATAGATACCTATATACGATGTCAGAGATTGGTTAGAACCGACAACAAATAAATTGATAAAGTCATGTCAAGATGATAGTTGATAGTCGATTTTTATCAAGTAATTCTGTAATTTATTTTTACTCGTAAACTAGACAAATAATAATCGATGGTTGTTATCACGCATGTATCGCACACTTTAATCTATAATTTTTGCAACGATTGTAAAATAGCTAATTGAGGATTGTCCGGAGATATTAACCCCTAGTAATATTTGGGTTATTGGAATCGCTCAAAAACCATTTATTCGAGCGGTTGATAATAAGATATCAAAGTACTGGAAAGGATTATGTTATGCAATTAAACTAAGGTATGGGTTTATGCATTTTATGAAATTGAAGAGATCAGCTCCGGTGGTTACGAAATAGTTTCTACTGCTAAGGCAAATATCCAATGGTTTTATATAAGAACACGACGTTGTCCTCAAGCGCTTTAAGAATTTCAATGAAATGCCGGAATTGCTTATTTTCGAGGTAAGAAATTTTTGATAACATTAACCTCTTTTAGATATTTAATCCGATTTTATTATCGTATAGCTCAGAAATGCAGCGTCTTGATAATAGGTTTTCCTTGTTTTATAACCCGATATGGACGAATACGTTACCGTAAATGCGATGCAAATTACAGTTTTGCATGATACAAACTTGTATCTCCATGGTGGAAACATAACGTATAACGCTGGTTCAAGTACAACATTCATAGTCAGAGTCGTCTGAATTAAAAGCAAATGTTCCAGGCGTTGCGCCTCAAAAATTT